GAAAATACACAGAGGCAGAGAAGCTGGAGATGCATGTTTTGGGTGTAAGCAACAGAATTTTTGGAGTTGAACACCCAGATACAATTAATGCCATGGCATATCTAGCAGCAACATATTATTTTCAGGGAAAATACACAAAGGTAGAGAAGCTGCAGATACAAGTCCTGGATGCAAGTAACAGAATTCTTGGAGTGGAACACCCAGATACAATTAATGCTATGGCATATCTAGCAGCAACATATTATTTTCAAGGAAAATACACAAAGGTAGAGAAGCTGCAGATGCAAGTTCTGCATTCAAGTGACAGAGTTCTTGGAGTGGAACACCCATCTACAATCAATGCCATGGCAAATCTAGCAGCAACATATCGACACTTGGGAAAATACACAGAGGCAGAGAAGCTGCAGATGCAAGTTCTGCATTCAAGTGATAAAGTTCTTGGAGTGGAACACCCATCTACAATCAATGCCATGGCAAATCTAGCAGCAACATATCGACACTTGGGAAAATACACAGAGGCAGAGATGCTGCAGATGCAAGTTCTGGATGCAAGAAATAAAGTTCTTGGAGTGGAACACCCATCTACAATCAGTGCCATGGCAAGTCTAGCAGTGACATATAAAAAGTTGGTAAGATACACAGAGGCAGAGATGCTGGAGATGCAAGTTCTGGATGCAAGAAACAGAATTCTTGGAGTGGAACACCAAGATACAATAAATGCCATGGCAAATCTAGCAGCAACATATCAAAACTTGGGAAAATACACAGAGGCAGGCAAGTTGGGAATGCAAGTTTTAGATGCAAGAAACAGAATTCTTGGAGTGGAACATCCAGATACATTTGATGCCATGGAAGCTCTTGCAGCAACCCATCGAAAGTTGGGAAGATACATAGAGGCAGAGAAGCTGGATTTGCAAGTTCTGGATGCAAGGAATGAAATTCCTGGAGTAGAACATCCACATACACTCAATGCCATGGAGAGTCTAGCAGCAACATATCAACTCTTGGGAAAATACACAGATGCAGAAAAGCTGGTCATGCAAGTTCTGAATACAAGAAATAGAATTCTTGGAGTGGAACACCCAGATACAATAAATGCCATGGAAAATCTAGCAGCAACATATCACAACTTAGAAAAATACAAAGAGGCAGAAAAGCTGGATATGCAAGTTTTGGATGCAAGAAACAGCATTCTTGGAGTGGAACACCCACATACAATCAGTGCCATGGCAAATCTTGCAGCAATATATCGAAACTTGGGAAAATACACAGAAGCAGAGAAGCTGGAGATGCAAGTTTTGGATGCAAGAAATAGAATTCTTGGGGTGGAACACCCTGATACAATCAATGCCATGGCAAATCTAGCAGCAACATCTGGATGTATGGAAAAATACACAGAGGCAGAGAAGCTGGAAATACAAGTTCTGGAATCAATGAATAGAATGTTTGGAGTGGAACACCCAGACACTATTCTAGCTATGAGAAAATTAGCAATAACATATAAAAATCTGGCAAGGTACAAAGAAGCAGAGAAATTGGAGACCCAAGCTTTTGAATTCAATACCAGAGCTCTTCAAGCAGAATCTCATACAATTGTAACTATGGCCAATATTCAAGAAGCACAGGACATTCAAGTTCTTAATGCACAGAAAGCACAGTTCCCATTGAACAAAACTTGCATTCCACAGAGATTGTTTCAAATGATCCACTCCAAGCAGTTCTTCCAGATACAACAGTGAATTTTCAGAGAAAAGGTATAGTTTGGTAATTCTTTTTGAACTACTCTCATGTATTTGTAGCAGATGCCCAGGTCTAGGCAAGCATACTAATGATTTTCATTTTATCCAACAAACATCTCAGTCTTCCGCTTCTCTTCATTCAGTATACAAGTCAGACTTTAACATTACTTTTGCTTATGCAACATCATGACTCAAGTTGTTCCATAGTTATATGTGTATCTAGTTCATCTTTCTTTATTCTTCAAATCACCACTGCACATACCCTTGCCCAGAAGTATGTCATACCACACTTTGCTTGAGAGTATAGAAGTGACTTGAGTTTGACAAGATGCTGAATACTCTATCAGCTCAACGATCCTTTACTTGGAACTCCTTTGAGGATTTCCTGAAGGAGAGCAGAGACTATGTGATGAATATCTGAAGCACCTATGGTCTCCACTAAGCAAAACAAATGATAGACTGAGTCATGAGATTGGTCTTCACACCTCAATAACCCAATTCACACATATGTTCACCAGCCCACTGTTGTTGGCTTAATGACACCCACATCAGCTTGCTCACAGCTCACCAGTTACATCTTTATTCCCAGTCCATTTTTTTTCCACACTTGGGAGAAGGTTTTCATGAGGCATGAGTGCAAACTCATCTTAGGATAAGATAATGTCTGCATCAGAACCAGACATCTCACTCATGTGTAGGTACCAATATATGTCTATGTTTCTGGGAGTGTGTTTCCCATCACCTTCATATCTGGCACTGATGCTAAGAAATTACCTGTCAGTCATCTCACAATTTTTTTTTTGACTTTTGACATCTTCTAATGACCAACACTCCAACTTCCCCTACTGCTACTGCATCCACCACTCCCACCAGTTTTGCTGACAATGTGCAGTTCTGTGGTACTACTAACAGTGTGTAGCCTCATGTTCCTCACACCCACAGCCTAGGCTGTACTAAAATACCAAAAAGCCCTGGATCCTGGCACAAATCCCTATAGCCCAGGAGCTGCCAACATCCACTGGCCCTGTTTTCCATAAATTTCTGCTGTTAGGATATTTATTTTATTTCATTGTTTTGGTGATTTATGTAGGTTTCCCCAGAGGATAAAAATTGAAAATAGCTTGCGAATGTTTGAAATCTGTGCTATTTTAGGATTCAGAATGTTTGTGATTTATTACAAATCTAAATATAACTCAGATATGTTTTATGATTGAAAAGTTTCAGAATTGGTACATCATGGATCATTATTGATGGTTGGTATGATTTCCTGTATTCTGTGTATGTTTTGTGCTATTAGGGGGAGTCAGGGTGAATGATTCAGCGTGATTCAGCAACAATTCAAGATCTGGTGCAATAATGATTCCAAAATTTTAATTCACATGAATTGATTGCTGAACTGGGTGTAACTCTGACCCCCCTGGTACCCAGATATTGAGGGAACTGAACCGAACCACCTAGGACCAGCATTTTGTGGTCTATGGAGCTGGTTCAGACCGATCCAGACCGGTTTTTTTGTGTATAATTTATTATACCAATATAAACCATTTGTATCTCAACCATTATTACTCTGAAAAATAAATGGGTTATATAAAAAGTAAAGCATGTAAATACCGCAGTTATGTCTATAGAGGCTTTGGAAAATGGCTTGTATTGTTTAAAACAGGCCAAAAATGACCAAAATAGCACAAAATGACTGTTTTCTGGAGGCATAACTGCTCAGTATTTTTAACTGATTCTTTGATAGGCTCATTCAGGTTAACCAGAGGTATGTTCTGGCTACCTCCCCAGTTAGCGCATATTTATTTTTTCAGATGTCACCAGAATAAAAACCTTCTCAAGGCCCCAGCTTTCACTGAAATAAGTCCATACCAAGGGAAGTGTAATACAACTACATAATGTAAAAGAATACACAAATACATTTGAGGTAACAATAGATTCTTAGAAAGAACCAGAAAATGACCGAACCTTCATTCTTTTTGCACTCCTCTGTATGGCTATCTGAGTCTTAAGGTCCAAGTGCTTTGGGCAGATGCTTCAAAAAGCAAAGAGAAGTCTTCTGGAGCACAGGATGGCCATGTTGTCCAGCTGAAGAACACTTGCAACTGGAAGCAGGGCAACAGGGGTGGCCAAACTCCCCTCTATCCTCCTATGTTTTCATCTTCTAAGAAGAACCAGAACCCAGCCTCAATTAAGATGTTGGAGCTAAAGAACTTCTCAACTACTGAACGAGCTATTACTCTAAACTTTGGTGCTGCAGCATCACAGGTGTGTTTTCTCTTGATTTCTTTGATAGACTAACTTACTTTTCTATCTCTAGATGGCTTATCTAACTCATTGTTCAGTACAGTTTTACAAGAAGGAACAATGGGAGACATTGGTCAGAGTGGTGCCTAAGAATTTAGAAAGCGAGTTTTTGCTTCTCTTCTTACTTCTCATCATGCTTACATCTCTCCACAGGAAAGGAAGTTTCATGTCGCATTTGGGATTGAGTTTCCAGACTATACACAGATAAGTGGTGCTGGACCATCATCATATGCAGCTGGACAGTCCAACATAATACCTGATGCCAGTACCAAAGGTATGCCATCTGTTCTATGATTTGAATTTGGGTAATCCAATTCACCTACAGATGCTGATGTGACTATGGAATGGAGTTCAATGGCTCAGATCCCCACCCCTCCTTCGACTCAGGTCAATCTTCCTACTGCCAATGCCCTGAATGTTTCATTTGACAACCTATTGTTTGGTGACCCTTGGAGTTTTAGTTCCCATAATCTCAACTTTTAATCACCATAGTGTCCCCTCTCTCCACAATACTCTCTTTGCCTCACAATCACATCCATCTACTCTCACTTCACTCGCAATCAGCATTATGTCTCCTCATCACAATTGCATCTC